AACGAACCATGTTCAGAAGCGATCTCTACTAAGCTGAGCAGTGTTTGGCTTCCTATGGGAGGCCTGTGCATTTGTTTTTTTTATAGCTCATTTAGAGCCAAACTGCGAGGCACCATGCTGTGCGTGAGCATGTACATGCATTTATGCATTCTTCCTGCACTACACTGTATCACTTTAAGTAACTGAGCACAAATATAAAAAGTTGTAGCTCTGCTTGAATGGGTCTCTCTGCATGTAAATTATAAATGAGCTGTAATGATTTAACAAGCATGTGTTTGATAAGCTATGTAATGAAGGCTGCAGGGTTGAAATGAACATGCTTTCAATAAAAGCACAGTCATGCATGCTTTATGTCAGTTGTAGCATAGAACACAAATTATTTTGTATGTCCGGACTCACTCTATTAACCTGCCACATGCTAAAATTAGCAGCACTTCAAAACTAGTTGCATTATCAAAGCCTATTTAAGAGCTTGCAGCTGGTTTTTGCGTGGAATAATAAAATCCATCTATTCAGACTGTTCCGGGACCCTTTCAGACCTTGTCCAATTATCTAGAGCCACATTCACTTAATTCATAGCGCCTCCATTTCATTGATTCTAGAGCTATACAAGCAATTCTTTGAGACCCATTTTACCTATAAACTCTGCCTGCCCCAGACACAGTCTCCTCTATCATACTTTCTTTCAGACAACGCTGTCTTTTCTTGTCTTGTTCACGGCAGGCGAGGCACATCTACAGATCTGTGTATAACAGAAGAGCGTTTTATTCAGGCGAAATAAAAAATTACTTTGTGTCAATGACCAAAACGGCCACATTGATTAATAAACGACACTGACGTAGGTCCTGTGTCTATGACAACCCTGGCCTGGCAGAGGATAAGACAAAACACTCATTGTTGTGTGACTGCTGTTCCCTCTCCAGAGAGCAAGAGTAGTCTGACTGCATTTCCGCCCTTAAAAAGGATATTACTAAGAGCTCAGAGCTCTCTCGAACTGTGCATCAATCTCCTTACTGTAATATATTATGAATCAATAACTTACAAATTATGATTCAGTTGGAGTCTTTTATAAGATTAGAGTAAGTGGATTAAAAGAAGAGTATTGGTGTCATAACCTTGTTCAGATTTCTCAGATTTTCCAGAAGTGGTTTGATTGTGGTCATTGATGTTGTGTAAACATTCACTTTTTGGCATCATGAAAAGAAAGTGCTTAATAAAAGGGGGAAAACTGAAATGCCTTTTATTAAGCATTGATGTAGTGCAACATGTTTGCCATGTTTGTAATTGTTTTTATTTATCACTTACTGTTTACTTGCTTTCAAGAATTTTTTGAAGATTTTTTTGTAACTTTCATTAGTTAATCTACTATTAGTTTTTGCTGTAGCACCAAAATTGGTGTAGAGATGTATGTATGTTAATAATGGTAACAACCATTATTTTCAGCAAAAAAAAATAAAAAATAAAATAAAATAAATA